CTGCCCGCTCTGCTAGGCGGAGCCCCCGAGGAGCGCTGGAAAGATCAACGGCAAGGCTGCCACCCTGTTGGAATAAATAAATAAATAAATAAAATAATTAAAAAAAAGAAAATCGTGCACAAAACACGTGAAGAGGAATTCTAGGTTAACTCTTCCATGCGTTTAGGGGTGCCTACAATTCATCGGCAAGGTCGTCGTTACACCAGGTGCTGCAGTGGAAGCTCGGCCCGTCCTGCTGTACACGCAGGAGGGTAACGCAGGAAAATGAGTCAGGTTATTATAATATCTAGCACTGTCAGGGAACGTCGCTTCCAGGCCCTCGGAAATTAGAGGATAAGTTAGCTAAAATTCAACCGGAGCTCGCAAAACAAAGTAACTCGGTAAGCTTTTCTGAGCAGATTCAGGCCATAAGAAAGTTATAAAAACAGAAATTCCAGGAAAAGCATCTTTTAGTGGCAACATCACTTCCAGTTTATTTTACTCCCTAGATCTAGAAGGGCAGGACAGGCGGCAGACAGCGTGCATTCAGTTTATGCTGCATCTGTTATGTTTAAACTTTGTGGTTATCGAGTATCTGCACATAGTCTCTAAACCAACACAGATCGTTCATTGTTCAGACAAAGCTTAAGAGGCAAAGGATATCTACTGCAAAGGGTAATACTGAGGCATGAGTTTTTTGCATGAGGCAAAAAAACGTGATATTTTAGTTTCCTCCATCTAAATACCTGAAATGATTAATAATTCTCTGGATTTCAACTGCAGTGTAAATAATGGACAAGTGTGAAAACAGGTCAGTCAGTTCCACTGACTTAAATGATACAACATGAGTTCTGGAACCGCTCAGGTGAAACATCTAAGTGCCCAGCAAAACACAAGTTTTCATCAGAAAATTGTTCTATTGATTATGGAAAAGCCCCACATTCTACAAGCATGTTTTCACAAGAGCTATATTTAGGCCTGACGAGACATGACGATCTTCATTTAAAGAGAGTCACAGGTATTGGCAAGTATCTAGCAAACAGCAATTCAGGAGATCCTGTTTCTGAATGCTCCTGCTGCAAGTATTCCTACATAACACTACACTGATGTGTCAGACACTGACAGCCATCCAAGAACTCTCCAAAAAGAAACCAGAGAAACAGACTGGCATTGTCTAAAATACGTGTTTTCATTAGCATGTTGTAACTGTGTACACACAAGCTACAAGTCAACTCATCTGGATCACAATCTTTCATTTTAGGAGAGCCCTCAACAGGAAGAAATGAGCAATTTTCCCATCTTAACCTGCCCTTTTCCAATTTTGATGTTTCATATTTTTGGACAGGCACTGCTGTACACAGAGACTCTGCATCGTAGCAACAGTCATCTTCTGCTTGTTCAAATGTGGCAAGATATGTACCATACATTCATAGAGAGTTTTTAAACAAACCATACTAGCACTTCTAGTTCTGACCTCTAGAACCCCTAGGCTTCTGCACTTCAGTTGGTTAAAATAACTTGTTAGCAAATAATTTAATCAGGTAATCTGTATTCAACAGTTATTTTACTTAAAAGTTGTTTGGCAGTGTTCATCCTCTAGCTGGTCAATAGTTTTCGGTTAATTATTCACTTGTCAGCAGATTAGTTGAATTGGACTGACCTAAAGTAGAGGGGCCTCAGCCAAGGAAAGCTGGGAAGACCTGGCCTAGAGAGAATTTAATTCTGTCTACCTGACCACACAGTCTTAACCTTAAACCCGAACCTTAAACCTTTGAATAAAAAGAAGCTATTTGTCCTTCACTGCAGTTAACAACTCCCTGAAGAGGTTGATAGGGCTGCCAACCATTTAATTTTGTGTAGTTCATCTCACTACTCTGGATCTGTACTAGGTCTAAATAGTCACAGAGCAGTGACCTGGTATGTATCCTTAATTTGCCCAAGAGAATTACTCAGCACGTTCATCTGTCTTTTGCATCACACCATACAAAACACTGTCAAAGGTTTTTAAATTTAAAGAAATCCTAATTTACAGGTTTGCTTGACAAGCTTTTTAAGGCTAATATTCTCATGTCAGTTTGCTTGGGACACTTGGTAGTTAATTGGACAGTAGATCTAGAAACACACAAAACTGAACTTGCCTTTTAAGTCAAGTTACAAGGTCAGCATTCATTCTGACTCTTTTTGTCCATGGGAACTCCCTTGCATTCCCCATTTATGTTTCCTAGGCAAGTAATATACACAAAGACTCTAGCTGCCACTAGCTGCTTCGCAGTACTTAGCTTCTAAAGAATGTTACAAATCTATTTACTATACTGTCTTCCCACTTATTTCAGGTCTTCGTTGAAGAATACCAGTGACTGCCTGGGGGGAGAGGAAAAAAAGTAAAAAATGGGGAAGAGCCATGAAGGACCAATCAAGCCACCTGAAACATAAGACATCACAGATATACACATTACCTCCAACATGATTCACCAAGCCCAGTAAGAGCAGAAAGTAATAGCAAATACTGCAAATACAGTGGAAATGGTGTAAAAATAATATAATAGCCGTAAAGGAGAAACTATTGAAAATGTGTTTAAACTAGTATCAACAGAACGTTGTCACTGACCAAATATCACACATCTAATTTTATAATATCAAGAGAACTAAACGGGCCAAAACACAATAGAAAAAACACTGTAAGACAAAGACAGTAGGAATGCAGAAGACTTGTTTAAACATAGCCAGGAGCTTTGTTAGTGAACACGGTTCACATGTATATTCTGTATGTGGTACTTAAATACATATTCAAACATTCACACGACAAGCACAGTGCAAACCACTTGACGAGTACAGTCCAATATTTTTAGTTACCGTTTAAACGCTGTGGGTCAATTGACTAACACCTCAAAATAATTTTCTCACTTTCAGCTTCAAACACTGCCATGACAGCTTTCAGTTTAAGTTATTGTATCTTCAAAAGAAAATCTTACCGTATCATTTTCAATACCAAGTTTTCTATCCTACTCTTCATGGTCAGGGATAACACAACCTCCTTGCCCCAGAACAGACGTTAAGAGTCACCAAGTCTGGACATTAAGATGAAAAGATCTCTGCAATCAAAACTCTCCTGCGATGTTATCTTGCATATCAGCAACTCCAATTAAACAAAATATGTCTATTTAAAACCTCCCAAATGGTACTAATGTGACACTGCAACAGATGTAAGGTGATCCTTGTTAATTATTATTCGCCTTTAGTCTATAAAGCCCTAAACTTCCATTGGAAAACAACCGAGCACCACTGTAGTTAAACTTTCACTTGCCAAATAACTTTAGCCCATTTTTTACTGTAAGGCCAC